TTTGATTTGATTTGATTTGATTTGATTTGATTTGATTTGATTTGATTTATACCCCGCCTATCTGGCTTTTCTACGCATACATTCCTATAATAAAGCCTACTCAGTTTGCTTATCCTAAGCTGTTTTCTTTCCACATTAATCAAGACATCACAGGCAGATTCCTCCGTGAGGAGGGACCTCTCCCTTTTTTTTGGGAGAGGGTACAAATCACTGAATGTTCCACTCTGGGAGTCCCACCTGACAGACAGACATCTAAAGACTCCTAAATGTGACTCACTTGAGAGAAAAGCTTAAGCTGGTAGGCTTCATGGTCTAACATAGACCCAGCTCCACCTGGCTAAATGCTCAGCTTCCCAATTTTATCTGGAATATGGGACCAAATATAACCAGAAGTTGGTAAATAATGGAGAAGTGGCTAGATAGCTCAGTGAGCCACAGGTTGGGAGTTTTGATTCCCCACTGTGCCTCCTAGGAGCAAAGCCAGCCTGTGTAGTTTTAGGAAAGGTCTGTAAATCCAGGGTGCCCCAGAGGAAGGTCATAGTAAATTGCTTCCGAGTACTCCACTTAGAAAACCCCAGAAAGGATTGTCATAAGTCAGAACAGATTTGATGGCATGTATTTATAAACATGTGACTTTGTGTTTCCTCACCCCCCTGGATCTCATGGGAGAGACAAGGGAGTTCTAAATTAAAATATAAGTGAAAGCATTCTTTGTACATCCTGCCTTGGTATAAGCCAAGGAGAAGCTTAACTTTTTAGTGGATGGCATGAGTGTGGAAGGGCTGGATATGATACTGTAGATTTTAGAATTTCAGGTTAGATTCCCTCCCAACCAAACCTACTAAAGGCAGCAATGCAAGTTTCAAAAACTCCCAACAGATGAAGGTAGATAATTAAAGCCAGATAACTGAAGACACAAGGGCTAGAATCCTGTTGGTGTAGCTCTGTGCTCATATGGCCAAGAACGTCATCATATATTTTCTTTTATCTTTAATTCAAGCTTTCTTATTCACCCTTCCACGGTTCCAAGACTTCATAGGGATCTCTTTTGACCTGGGGAAGTTTTTGGGAAGCTTGGGATGGGGAGAGTGACCTTTAATGTCTGAAATTCACTGTCAGTGGTCCTAGTCTAGTGGCACTCCTGGTGGGCAATGATTTTTAGACATTAAAATCTCCTCACGTTCACTCTGAGGCTCTGACGACTTCCCTAGGTTGAAAAAGATCCTTAGGGAGCCTTATGCAAGAAGCAATTGTCACAAGTTACTTTTAAAACATTGTAGTGAATAAAAACTTGTTAGTTTATGAATACTGTAAAAAGTAAAATCGGCAATTTATTTTTAAAAAGTAATTTACCATACTCTGGTCTTTACTGCAGATGAAGAAAGAGAAATACAGGCCCAGCTTACAGAGAATACATTGAAACACCGGACTCTTCCTCAGCCTTCCATTCAGGCTACCTCAAACCATACAGACAAACAACAAAGGCCACTACCACCCCCACCTCATTCTGAAAAACAACCACAAGGTAGACCCCCCCAGCCCAGACCACGCCCACCTCAACAGAAACCTCCACGACGAATGAAGGAAAGATCCTAAACACTGACCACCATACACTTTGCTGAAAATCAGTGCATATCCCGGAATGGAGAAATAAGTTCGAATAGCAACAATCCCGGTGAATACTTGTGTTGAAAAATATAAGCTGGAACTTTGACTCTGAGCTCTGACATGGATTTCCTGTTTCCCTTACTTGGAATTTAGCTCACTTTGTTACTTTCTGCTTCAAAATGTTATGAGATCCAGTGTGGAATAATGGACTAGGTCCTGGGAGATATGGTTGAAATCCCACTGTGGCAATCACTGCTTTGGCTCATGTAGGGGATTATTTGAATGGGAGTGAGTTAGTCAGTTAGAGTCGGATATGAGAGTCTTAAATGAAGAGTTAGAAATGAAGAGTTAGAGAGGAGGTAGGGTAGGCAAGTTAAGAGTGTGGAACTTATAGAGAGCTAAGAGAGTTAAAAGTGAAACAAGTTATTACTAATCCAATGAATACTTTAAAGTCTGTGAAGAACCTGCTTAAGCGAACTGTAACCAATAAACCTGTTTAGTTCAACTTTATACTCAGCTGGGACCTCAATCTTTCTAATTAAAGGGCGTTGACAGAGGTCAGCTGGTGGCAGCATAAAGGAGAGAATCTATCGTGGGCCTCAGGCTAGTGAAATAATCTGGGGACACGCAAGGGGCACATCGCACCCACCTCAGATACGACAGTCACAGGATATCTTTGGGCCTTCTTGAAAGTGTTCTTTTCACAACAAGCCTGTAAGATAGTTCAAGCTGAAAGGAATAGTTGAGAAAATGACTATGCTTCTCTCCTTCCTCCTACCATATTCCAGAGTGGTAGCTGGATATCAATCTGCACTACTACTGTCCAGGACCCCTCTGCCACTACTGTGAAACTGGGTGTCCAGCTGGCTTTTCAGAAGATACCTCCAGGTATTTTCCAAATTGTCTCTTAAGGGCAAAACCCACTCAAAAGCCAAGGTCTCCATTGCTGTTGTCATTTAATCAATTATGTCCTCTTACTTCTAAGGGCGAAAGAATGCTTAATACTCATTCTCCCCATGGCTCTTTGCTCTCTTTTACTCTTTCTTTCTCCCTTTATTTGTGCCTCCCCCTCTCTTTTTGCCTCTGTGTGGCTTCTCTCTCTCATGTGCATGCTCTGTTTCTCCTTCCTTCTGGTGCCGGTTTGGGCAATGCCTACAGAATATTTCAAAGAGACTTTATGAAAAGTCATTTATTCCTGTTCTCCTCTCCACTGTGTCTGTAAGGAGGAGATGCTTTCATGTCGCCGTTTGATTAATTGCAGTTTAGCATTCCTTCCAAAATCCAGGCAGACTGCAGTTTTTCTTAACTATCTTTTACAAGCCAGCTTTAAGCCATGGATTGTGAAGCTAGGTTGTTTTAAGAAACTGTAGTTAAGATTTACCCTCAAGTTTACTTTACCAAGTTAAAATGTAATTCTTTAGCATAATACTAAACTGTGGTTTAAAAACGGGGGCCAAGAGCTTCTAGTCTCTCAGCATCGGGGTCATTACATGCTAACATATCTCATGGTATGTGATTTTTTTGCGTGAATATTTGTCATCTTGTTCATGCCAAAAAATCTGTGGTGAATAATTATTTGCATTCATTTTGTAACTATGCTTCATTTAGGAATGTTATGTAATCTTTCAGGAAATAGTGTGGGTGTCACAAGATGTTTAAGTATATACACCAGTTAGATGCGGAAGAATGAGAACACACAAAATTCTGCTAAAGTTCTCCATGTACATATACGAGTTGCTTTCTTATAGGCTGCTCAGGGTTCTTCTTCCAGACAACAGACAAAGATTTGGTATAAACACTCAACAATGTTTTCAACCTTCTTGCAACTTGTGGTTCAGCTCCTCTAACCATATTTGACCCAGTTCAGATGTCTCTGCAGTCAGGATAAGGTGAGAAATGGGGCCCTGTTGTTTAAATGCTAACTCTCCCTGTTCCAACCTTCATAACATGCATAGTATGAAGAAACTCAGCTTGTTGATTCAAGATGAAATGCTTGCAAAAGCTACTCTGGTTAAATGTTCTTCAAGCCACAACATTTTTTAAGGAAGAGGAGAAAAAACTGGTTACTCTTAAACCTGGAACTCTGGAATCTGTGGCCTTCTAGATGCTGAAAAACAACTGACCCAGATTGCAACAACCCCCCCCATCCCTATTTAAACAATGATACAGCTATTTAATAGCTGTAAGAGAATAATAGCATATCTGAAAGGTTTGGTAAATTAGTCAGAAGTAAAAGGAGAAGACTATTCCAGAACACAAACAAGGACATGGAAGCAGCAACACAGCTCTTTCACTTTGTTGTAATAAGAATTGTGTGCCATCAAGTCTACTCTGACCTATAGTTGCCCTTTCCGGGGGTTTTCAGGTAGAGTATACTCGAAAGTGGTTGACCAGTCCCTTCTTCTAGGACTGTGCCGCAGCTTGCCCAAGACGTCATAGGTTCCTTCAACTTCCAGGAGGCACAGTGTGGAATCCAACTGCCAACCCCTGGCCAGATCCCTAACCCTGTGATCTCTCCAGCCAGCTCAATTTGCTGAATAGGTCCACGAAATAGCAGGCACTGTGGCTGCAAGAGAACATACAAGGTCTTGGGGATTTCAGAGCCTCTTTTGTCCCTCTGTGGTTTGGAGCCTCCAGGGAGTTCTTCGGTTTCAATGGGAAGTTCAGCTTTTAGTTGCTTTCTCCTTTAGTTCCAAGAATGCAGTGGCCCTCTTCTGACTTCCTTTTCCCCAAATTTATTTGCTTTTGAACCCTATAAACACCGAATGGGATCAGAAGGAACTCTTTGGGGGTTGCTGTGCCCTGGGAATGAACAGCGGTTCTTTACCCCACCCTGTAGTTGCCTCCCTCGAGTCGAACAAGTACCCCTGGTTACGGTCTGATTTTCCACGCTTGACCAGAAACTGCGTGCATACACAGAGTAGGACTGGATCTTGCAGCTCCCAGGTGCATTTTCAGTTCTGCTCCTTTCAGGAGGACTGTGCTATAACTCTCGTGCACTGGATAGCACCTGGTGGCAAATATATATATATGTCAAATAGAATAGGAAAAGGACAAGAAAGTAGAAAAGAAGACATTACCAAAGCAGTCAGAATTGGGTGTGGGTGGGTGTCAGGTGTTTTATTCCACTGATCATATCTCACAAGGAGTAGTCAAGTTTAAGGTCACCTTTATTCCAAGGCTTCTAGGTTTATCACATTTGGGAGACGAGGGGGGGGGACTTGAAAACTGACTCTTTCCTGTCAGTTTTCAAGGTGTGACAGAAGGGCTGGTTGGAAGGTGGCTGAATACTTATCTTGTGAGGAAAGGCATGTCTTTTCCCCAAAAAGTTCTACTCCCTCCCGTGGCTTTTTTCTCTTTATTGTCACAATAACCTAGTGGGGTAGATCAGGCTAAGAGAATACGACTGGCCCAAAAATATCCTGTGAGTGTCATATCTGAGGTGGGTGTGGCGTGCCCCTTGCGTGTCCCCAGATTATTTCAGTAGCCTGAGGCCCACAACACATTCTGTCCTTTACGCTGCCACCAGTTGACCTCTGTCAACACCCTTTAATTTGGAACATATTTTAAATTAGAAGTATCATGTGGAGTTTTGGGGGGGGAAAGTTTTACAATAAATTCCAACTTAAATGTACAAATCTCATTTTATTTGTATTCTCGAAGGCTTTCACAGCCGGGATCTGATGGTTGTTGTAGGTTTTTCCACTGTTTGGCTGTGTTCTTAAGGTTTTTCTTCCTAACGTTTCACCAGTCTCTGTGGCCGGCATCTTCAGAGGATAGGATTCATAACTCTGCCTGTGCTCTGTTGCAGTTTGTGGGACAGTTGATTATTTTTAGCTGTGGGATCAGTTTTTTGTCCTTTTTGGGAGATTGGGTGATTATGGTGATCACAAACACCAGCAGAGCTTCAACGAAACAGAAGAAAGTCTAAAACTCAACAAACCCTGGATCCCAGCACTGAAAAACACAGCCTGCAAAAGGTCAACAAACTCTACCCAGCCACAAGAACTGGTGATCACTGCGCACAAAAGACCAGCTAAAGACCCCCATCAATCACAGTGACAGATCGCCTCTCCCCCTCATCACAACAATACACCCACAACAGAAAACACGCTGATCACCGTAATCACAAAAAGCTGATCCCTCAGCTATAAATACTCAGTTATCTCACAAACTATACCAGAGCACAGACAGAGTTAGTACTCCTGTCCTCTGAAGATGCTGGCCACAGAGACTGGCAAAACTTTAGGAAGAAAAACCTTAACAACACGGTCAAGCAGTCAAAAAAACCTACAACAACCATCTGATTTTATTTCTTCGCAGTTTTTTAAGTCATTGTTGTTACTCATTCTTACTGAAATCCCCCAAAATATTTGCCACTGTGTAAATATGGCTTTGTTTTTGCAGAAGTTGGATATGAAGAAACTGCAATAAGAACAAAAATTAAAACAACCTCCTGTGTTCTTATTTTCCATTTGAAAGATAAAACTCCAGATTACACCAGCACTTTTGTTTCCTCGGTTTGAGGTGGTGGTTTCAGCAACCTCTGATGAATTTTGACAGGAAGTCCTTAAAAATGAACGTCTCAAAAACAGTTTAGTTTTATGTTGCAGTTTTAGAGGAGGTAGCAAGCATATCCGGTGAAATACAAAGGAACAAAACAAAAAGACAAAAATGTGCGGTACCTTAGAGATCACATTTGGAAGATGAGGGGGGGGACTTGAAAACTGACTCTTTCCTGTCAGTTTTCAAGGTGTGACAGAAGGGCTGGTTGGAAGGTGGCTGAATACTTATCTTGTGAGGAAAGGCATGTCTTTTCCCCAAAAAGTTCTACTCCCTCCCGTGGCTTTTTTCTCTTTATTGTCACAATAACCTAGTGGGGTAGATCAGGCTAAGAGAATACGACTGGCCCAAAAATATCCTGTGAGTGTCATATCTGAGGTGGGTGTGGCGTGCCCCTTGCGTGTCCCCAGATTATTTCAGTAGCCTGAGGCCCACAACACATTCTGTCCTTTACGCTGCCACCAGTTGACCTCTGTCAACACCCTTTAATTTGTAACATATTTTAAATTAAAACTATCATGTGGAGTTTGGGGGGGGGGAAGAGTTTTACAATAAATTCCAACTTAAATGTATAAATCTGATTTTATTTGTATTCTCGAAGGCTTTCACGGCTGGGATCCGATGGTTGTTGTAGGTTTTTCCACTGTTTGGCCGTGTTCTTAAGGTTTTTCTTCCTAACGTTTCGCCAGTCTCTGTGGCCGGCATCTTCAGAGGATAGGATTCATAACTCTGCCTGTGCTCTGTTGCAGTT